TTTCTAATTTTTCATTTATTTTGTCATTTTGTTCTTGTACTCTCTTTTAAAATTATTCTAGGGTTTTCTATGTGTTTTCCTTGGTCTGTCTCTCAATTCGTTGAAGAAACCTAAATATAATTCTTTTGAATTCCTTCTCAGGGAGTTCCAGTGCTTCATCTCTCAAGCATGTGTTTTGGGTCTGTATCCTGGTCCCTTGTTTCTCCTGCTGCTTTGTGTGGACTGTGATGCTCTGCTGTCTCTGAGGCATTGAGATGTTTTTGTGTTTATATTTAATTGGTGATTATATGTTGGAGTGACTTTTCCACGATTTTCATTTTCTGTGTTTTGTTTGTATATTATCTACGCAAGCAGGGTACTGTGCTCCTCTATTCACTAGTTGACAGCACTTACACACTCACCACCTGTCTCCTTTCCTGTCCTTAGCCTTTCATATGTTCCTGCCGACCTTGGCAAACGGAACCTATTCTTAGGTCCCTGGAATTTGAATGAGAATGCTATCACTTTAAAATTTAAAATGGTTGCCACTTGTAAAGATTCAAAATTGGCTACACCCTCGGTCACTTTAAATATCCAAAATGGCCACCGCCTGTAAACATTTAAAATGGCTATGCCCTTGCTCACTTTAAATATCCAAAATGGCTGCCACGTGTAAACAATAAAAGTGGCTGCACCCTCTGGACAGTGGAAAGTCAACAGCTCAGGTTGTCTCCCTCTTTGCTGTTTCCCTTCCTAGTCATAGGCCACCAGCACAGCCATCCCTACAGCCCTTGGTGACCAAGGTTGATCTTTAGGTCAGTTCTCAGGTCCCAACACCCTTTGGAAATATTCAGGCTGTTGGTCCTGTCAGAGTAGCTGATAGTCCACAGCTCCGACCATCTTTGTACTCACTGTTTTCATTCAGGTTTTTCCACTAGTTGGTGCCTAATCCACTTCTGCATGGTTCCTTTCAAAGCTCAGGGCTCTAGGATATCTTCTATACTCTGTCAATTCATTTTTCTTTTCTTCATTGAAGAGGGTCTGTGTCGTTTATCTGCCTATTCTTCCATCTTACTGGAAGTCTCGATAGTGACTTTTTAGATTCATCTTGCAAAACAACTCTAACATGGTGGTTTCTTACATGGAATTTTGGTAATGAGACCAAGTGGTTCATGTCAGAAATACAACTTAATCCTTATTCAAGGGGAAAAGTCTTTGAGGATTCTTGCAGGATTTTGTTTTTTGTTTTCAATTAATTTTTTTTAATAGCCACCATATTCATGTAGTTCAGAATACACAAGTTCTAAAGGTGTTTATGCTGAAAAATCTCCATGGGCACCTATCTCCTAGCCAACCAGTGCCCCTTGCTAGAGGCAACCAATGTCAAAAGTTCCTTCATATCTTCCTAAAAATATATTATACCAGTATATGCAAATATGTAAGTCTTCCCCACCTTTTTAATACAGTATAAGCCCTCTTCACTTTTTATACTTAGCAGTAGATCTATTAGTACACAAAAAGCTTCCTTGTTCTTTTTTTAATGGCTGTATATTACTCCATTATGTGTTTATTCCACATTTTTTTAAACCATTGCGTTACAGATGAACTTTGTGTCTGGTGGATTTTTGCTATCACAATAATGCTGCAGTGAAAAACGTGTTATTTAGTCATTTCACATATTGTCTGGTATCTTTGCAGTATAAATTCTTAGAACAGAATTAGGAAGTTAAAGAATATATGCTTTTCTAATTTTGATATTGCCAAACTATTCTTTATAAAGTTTATGCCAATTCATACTCTGACTTGTATAACAGTGCTGCATCCCCATATAGTCTATAATAGTTTGTTATTGAACCTTTTTTATTTGCTGATTTGATGGCTTTGAAAAAAGTATCTTAAATTAGTCAGTACTTCTGCGTTTTATGAGAACCTCAAGTTTTATTTTCAATCATTATTTTTTATGTTTCTTTAGCGATGTGACATAGGAGATGCTTCCAGGGGAAGTTTATCTTCATATGCTTATATCCTCATGGTGCTGTACTTTCTGCAGCAACGAAAACCACCTGTTATCCCAGTTCTACAAGAGGTAGGTCTTTAAGAAAGCTATAAAGGAGTTTCTTGTACAAGTAGTAGATCTAAGCACAGTATATCTTGCTCATATTATTATATGAAGAATTTCTCCATCATGATTATCCTAAGTTTTTCCTTCCATTAATCTTATAATCAAATATGATGACTCTTCTAAAAAATTTTACTATATGGCAGAATATAGATTGTCAGAGAATATTAGATGAACAGAACCATTGAATATCTTTTGTGATCTTTTTGTATTTCAGTCTTCTAATGCTGCAGATAATTATGGAATTTTTATTGCCAACCATTAACTCATATATATTTCTGCACACAAATACATTTTAGTTTCTCAGATGCAAATACAATCTTCTTTTCTCCAGAGTATGATTGCTACACTGGCAATGAAGTTTGATTTATTCCTGTGTATACTTTGTTCAAGGAGCCTTGATGGTGAATGGTGAAGAGCTTGGCAGCTAACCGAAAGGTTGCTTGTTTGAACTCACCCAGTGGCTCTGCAGGAGAAAGCCCAGACGATCTGCTCTTATAAAGATTAAAAACCCCATTGCCGTGGCATTGATTCTGACATACAGCAACCTTATAGGACAGAGTAGAACTGCCTCATAGGGTTTCCAAGGCTGTATATCTTTACAGAAGCAAACTGACACATGTTTCTCATACGGAGTGGCTGGTGGGTTCAAACCACTAACCTTATTGTTAGTAGCTGAGTGCTTAACTACTATGGCACTAGGGCTCCCTCATAAAGATTACTGTCTGGAAAACCCTTTGGGGCAGCTCTGCTCTGTGGGATTGCTATGAGTTGAAAGTTGACTTGACAGCATCTAACAACAGCAGCATACCTTGTTTAACCTTCTAAATTTGGGTTGAGAGCAAACTCAAGGAAATTCTTCCCGGTCTCTGTAAAGTCATATAAACTGCGTCAAGTATTATAATGTACAGTGAAAGAAACATTATATCCATATTCACTCAGTGACTCAGAAAGACTCATTTTGTAGCTAAATAGTTACAGAAGAGTTCTTAATTGTCCTTCTATTCCTTCTGATTCATTGGCACAAAGTGGCTTTGCACATGATAAGGATGGTCCAGCTTGAATTTCTTAGAAGGGTGATTATTTTGAGGTAACAGTTTTGAGGTTATTTTTTTGTGAAAATCACATATACTGATTCCACGTAAACTTTGATAGTCATGACAACGAAGGAAACCACAAAATAGTCATGTGGTGGATGTCAGATGGTCTTAGTAAGTTTTAAAAAAGTTCTAATGAATGCCATATAGTTTTAGCAGCATTTTCTTCCCTCTTCTGAACAGTAGAAGGGAAATAAATTTTTTAAATATCTTTTTAGCAGAAAGTTTTAAGTTTTTGGAAATGTTGAGTAATGTGGTTCACTGTAAGATAGTTAAATTTAACATGAATTACATTACACCTATCCAGAATGGATCATTCTCTGTATTAGTCTAATTGTTTAAGTTTTAAATTGGGGGGTTTTATGCATGATTGCCTTCATAATGTTACAGCAGCCATTTATCACTTAGAATACTATGGTCAACAACACTGACTCACAAATTTTGTTTTCATGCTGGTTTGTCTGTATTGTCTCATTTTGTCACCCATGGTTCAAGAGCCATTGACACAGCATAGTATATAGAAAGAGCAGGGCATTATATTTGGAGCCAGTGAGGACTGGTCTTCTGAATTGTGACTTTGTAACCTTCAGCAAGCTACCTAACTTCCACAAGCCTGAGTTTCATCAACAGTTAAAACGTAATAGTAGTAGTATTGATCTTTTTAGCATTTATAAGAAATATATATAAGAAATAGAGACAACAAATGCCTTTGCATATAGTAGATAACCAAAGTAGATGTTCAGAAATGGTGATTTACTTTTACTATTATTTTTACTGTTATTACTTTTATTATTGTTGGCAGCATCATTAACATTATTATCAGAAAAATTTAGCTAGGATTGCCATAGTCAACTTTCAAGAACTCTCCCATTATCTGCTTAACAGACAGTGATTGATGAAATGACAGTCATGGGATGTTTTCCATCATAATGAGCTCTGATTTTGGGGGGCTTTGTGATACATATGGACTGATGATATATGGATTTTGGCTTCTGGCCTTTTTTGCTTGTCAAAATGGGACCCCATTGGCCATAGCTCTGGCATCATTTAAGTATCGGTCATTGGCATCGATCAACTTTTAAGGGTAAGGATCTGTTTAATGAAGCTGATGATCTCTCACTCCCTTTGTAATTGAATTTAGACTTTAAGTGGGTGGGTGTTAAAGGCTTAGCTAAGAGTGGTTTTTTTTGTTGTTTTTTTTGTTGTTGTTGTTTAAGTCCTCAACAAATTAAGTTCTTTAGGTTAAAAGGAGCTTTCCTAAGCAGAGCAATTTTGCTGTATTCTAGCAAATTTTTATATAAAATTTAATACTTAACAAAGATTTGGGGGTGTTCACTCTTAACGCTATAACCATCTTTATTTTCTTAGTTCATGTCAGCTTAAAATTACAATTTAAATATAATAGGAGATATTAAAATATCACAAGGAAATAAGGAGATTCACGTGGTTACCCTTTGCACAAATATACTAGATGTATTTGGTGAAATTTTTTGGAGGGAAGGTTGAGTGGAGGATGATGATGATGAGTAGGAGAAGAGGGGAGGATGGAAGAGAGGGGGGAAGAGAGAAAGAAAGTGTATTTCTGTGTGTGTATGGTATGTGTAAGGAATGAGAGGATAGCATTAGTGCTTCTCAGGGCTAAAACAGTGAAACAGAATGGAGAATTAGACACTATGACACATAGTTCATAAAAACAAGCAAAATGTGAGTTTAATCACTCTCCATAGTTTCACAAGTCTACTCTACTGCATTATCAGCCAACATAGTTGGGTTTGGATCATGGTTATTACTCAAAAGTAAGAATATTCTTTAAAAGAATTACAATCAAAAGAAGTAGCTTGTATTGTTTCAATAACTGGTAAATAAATAAAACTGTGCAAAGCATGGAATATCTGTAATAGCATCCTAATCTATATAAGGGTTAAATATTGTACTTACACTTCAGCCTCATTGAAAGCTTTCACTTCTTTCTTGAGGGCAGGATCCCATATCTTTGGTTTCAGACACTAATATCTGTAAATTTCAGGCTCTTCGTTTTTCATTTTATGAAATGTCAGAACTTCTACTAGATGATTCATGGTAACTCTTGTTTGTTTAAGTTATATGTAAATAAAAATAAACCAGTTGTCATTAGCTTAAGTCCCTGGAAGCTTGAGTCTTAAGGAAAACATGCTTACAGAGTAAATAAATTCATTAAACAAACATATATTGTCTTTGTTATCTAGTGCTGCTATAACAGAAACTCTGTGAGTGAGTAGCTTTAACAAACAGAATTAATTTTCTCATACTTCAAGAATCTAAAAATCTGAATTCAGAGCACTGGCTCTAGAGGATGGTTTTCTATCTCTGTAGGCTCTGGAGGAAGGTCCTTGTCTCTTCATCTTCTGGTTCCTGTGTGTCTTGGCATTTATCTTAACCACATCTCTGCTTCTCTGCTTGCTTTTTAATTTCTTTTATATCTCAAAAGAGATGGACTCAAGACAGTCTGTACTAACCTATGTCATTAACATAACTAAGACAGTTCATTCCCAAATGGGATTAAAACTACAGGCATAGAGGTCAGAATGGTAATATGTATTTTCTGGGGACTCAACTCAATCCATAACACATTTGAAACATTCATTGTATGGCAGGCTTTGGAGTCCAGAGATAAACTAGATTCTATCTACAAGGAACTTAAACCTGAAAGTGAGATTGGAAGGACCAGAAATGTAGTTAATTTTATAAATCACTATCTTATCTGGAATGGAAGAGGTCATAGAATCCATTTTATCTGTTTGTTTTAAACTGTATTCTGATAAGCAGTAGTGGGGATGTTGGCTAGATAAGAAATTGGTGGGTATGTTTTCTCCGCTCAGACTTCCGTCAGAGTACTCTGATTTTAAGGAGCTCTGGTGGTGTAGTGGTAAGGCATTTGGTTGCTAAACCCAAGGTCTGTGGTTCAAACCCACCCACTATCCCTCTGAAGGAAGATGAAACAATCTACTTCCATAAAGATTTACAGTCTTGGAAACGCAATGAGTGTTGCTATGAGTCAGAATTGACTCGATTGCAGTGGGTGGGGCTGATTTTATCTGGTATGCATGTTGCCTTCCAAAGAAGGTTCCATTTTAGGAAAGGTTCAACAACTTAAAATAAAATTTGAAATCCACTGATCTATTTAATCTTCTCTTGTTTTTACTGAGAAAACTAAGGACTTAGGAAGATAATTGTCTTGCCAGAGTCACTATTTGGCAGGACCCATATTAGAAATGATGTCTGCTGACTCTGAGCCTTTTACACTTTTCCACTTGATTGCATCTTTTCCTCCATTAGAATAAAATTTCTTCAAATTGCTTGCAGAAGTCAGCTGTGCCTAGGCTTATGAGATACTTTTCTTCTTGTATAACAACTTTACTTTTTCCTTATCACTTCTTCTTTAGAACAGTGAATTACTATTTACAATTAATAATGAAGATTTGCAGTCTTTATTAAGATGTCAGGGAAAGTTGCCTGAATTTCCATTTTAAAATATCAATGTCTAGGTGCTTCTTAGGAGCTCTGGTAGTGTAGTGCCTAAGGCATTTGACTGCTAACCAGAAGGCTGGTGGTTCAAACCCACCAGCCACTCCTCGGAAGGAAGATTGGGCAACCAACTTCCGTAGTGATACCACCTCCGAAACCCTAGGAAGGGGTGCTATGAGTCAGATCTGACTCAATGGCAGTGAGTTTGGTTTTTGGTTCAGGTGCTTCTTAGCCTCATCTTGTATAGATGACAGACAAAAGGTACTAGACCCTTTTTCCAAAAACAAAACAAAACATACTATTCATTTCATTTGGGTGCAGCATCATTAGGTATTATTTATTATATATTTCTACACCTATTATTCTTTGATGAAACATTCATTTTTATGATCTTTTCTTTGTTTTGCCTCATTATTCTTTGGCTAGGTGTGCTTTGATAGACCAGATAGCTAATATTAAGTGTGTTGTATGGAAAGTTGTTCTTAAGCTATCTTTTGCCAGTTTTAGTCTTTCAGATACACTTTCTGTTCAAAACTACTTGGCATCAACTTATACACCATCATGACATCTTTTTGATAGAAATATTTCAGTATGTCTATTAAGTAGATTCTAAAATGATACAAGATTAATTGGTCCTTTGGATTGGCTGACTTAAAATCTAATAATAAATCTTTTTTTATACAGATCTTTGATGGAAAACAGATTCCACAGAGAATGGTTGATGGATGGAATGCCTTTTTCTTTGATAAAACAGAAGAATTGGTAATATAGTCTTTAAGTTATGGGATGCTCATTGATTTGTATAATTTAATCATTTTACTTGGATTTGCTGTTCATATATTGGATGGCTATAGACATTTTTTTTTCCATTTCATTTTCTCTAACTTACGTGTAGAAAAAGCGTTTACCTTCACTTGGAAAGAACACAGAAACATTAGGAGAGCTTTGGCTGGGACTGCTTCGCTTCTATACTGAAGAGTTTGATTTCAAGGAATATGTAATTAGCATTCGGCAGAAAAAGCTGTTGACAACGTTTGAGAAGCAGTGGACATCCAAATGCATTGCAATTGAAGGTAATTACGTAGCTGATACTAATTGAAGAATAAGACAGAAGAAAAAGCCAGAGTGTCATTTGCCTAAGGAACTTTGGAGGAAAACTGACACATACTAGGATTTGGAAGATTGAATTTTTACCAATTTCCATCCCTCAATCTATTATTTTAAAAGAACAATTTGCTGATTCGGATGGTCAGAATATATGTAGTATTAGACTCTAGTTATGAATATTAAGTATATTTTATGTTACCAGTGAACATAATTCTTAATTTAAAAAATCAAATATTTCTTTTCCAGACCCTTTTGATTTGAATCATAACCTTGGTGCTGGAGTTTCCAGAAAAAGTAAGTTTTAAAAAGTAGATTCCTTGCTTAAATTTTAAAGCTCTGACATGACACGTTAATATCTATATCTTTATTGTTTTCTTCTTTCTTCAATAGTGACCAATTTTATCATGAAGGCATTTATCAATGGAAGGAAACTTTTTGGTACCCCCTTTTATCCCCTCATTGGCAGAGAAGCTGTAAGTTTGCAGAATTTGAATTCTTAATCTTTTTTTTTTAATGCATTTTATTGAAATATAATTTATGTACGGTGAAATACACTAAATTAAAGTGACATGGGTCAATGCTTTTTTTATTGCAGTGTTCCCTCCCCTCCCCTCCCATCCCTGGCAGCCAACATTTAAACTTTCCCTCCATATATAAACTTTTCCTTGATCCTCCACAACAACGAACTAATAATATTTGTCTTTCTGTGATTGGCTTATTTCACTCAGCATAATGTCCTCCAAGTTCATGCATGTTATGCAGTATTTTGCAGACTCTACATTATTCTTTACTGCTGCATAGCATTCCATCATATGTGTGTACCATAGTTTGTTCATCCACTCTTCAGCTGATGGGCACATCGGTTGTTTCCATCTTTATGCTATTGTAAATAGTGCTGCAGTGAACATGAGCATGCATGTATCTGTTCCTGTCCTAACTCTTACCTCTCTAGAATGTATACCTAGTAATGGGATTGCTGGGTCAAATGGTATCTCCAATTCCAACTTTCTAAGGAATTGCCGTATTGCTTTTCACAGTGGTTGTATCACTTCACAGTCCCACTAGCAGGGTTAGGAGAGTCCCAATCTCTCCACATCCCCACCAGCATTTTTTATTTTCTGTCTCATTGAATCTTGCCATCAGTGCTGGGCTGAGATGGTATTCCATTGTTGTTATGATTTGTATCTCTCTGATGTAGAGAGATACAAATCACAACAACAATGTGAATGAATGTGAGCATCTCTTCATGATTAGCTGGCTACTGAATATCCTCCTTGGTGAAGTATCTATTCATATTTTCTGCCCATTTTTCAATTAGATTGTTAATTCCTTTGCTGTTGAGGTGTTGGACTTCCCTATAAATCTTAGAGATGAGTCCCTTGCCAGACATGTAATTATCAGCAAATATGAACTTGTTGCTGTCATTTTTGTTATGTGCTTTTTCATGCTTTTTTGATTTCTTTGTTACATATAATTATCTATGCTGAGCTCGTTTTGTTTATGAATCATGTTATCACTTCCTTTGTTGCTATCGTTTTAGTATTTGCTAAATATCTGTGCTGGTCCTCTTTTTTATTTTGATGTGAAGGTTTATCATTTTTCTTTGAGGTTACCCTGTACTTTATAGCTTTTTTTCTCAGGTTCAGAACAGAGCGTTCTATCTTGTAGTGGTCTTGACTTCCTACCATCTAGAAGTTCTGTAATGACATAGTTTTTTTCCCCTCTTTTTGGTTTGTAGTTGTCCTCATTTGTCAATTGATGTTTCTGGTTCCCTGTTTACAATCTTGTAGGCTTATATGCTTTGGATACTTTCATAGCTGGGTTGGTTTCTGGGTTATATCATCATGTGTATTAATGGTCAGTTGTTGTTGGCTGTTGTTGCTTCTCTGTCCAAAGGACTCCCTTTAGCATCTCTTGTAAGGTTGGTCTGATTTTAACAAATTCCCTTAATTTCTGCTTCTCTGGAAATGTCCTAATTTCACCATCATATTTGAAGGACGGTTTTGCTGGGTACAAAATTCTTGGTTGGAAACTTTTCTTTTTCAGAGTTTTATATATACCATCCCATTGTCTTCTCACCTGCATGATTTCTCTTGAGAAATCCAAGCTTAGTCTTATTGGTTGCCCCTTGTAGGTAACTTTTTGTTTTTCCCGTACTGCTCTCATTATTCTTTCTTTGTCTTTGGTTTTGGTGAGTTTGATGATGATATGTCTGGGTGATTTTCTTTTGGGGTCTGTCCTGTTTTGGGTTCGTTGGACTTCCTGAATGGATATATTTTCATCTTTCATCAAACCAGGAAAATTCTCTTTCAACAAATCTTTGACAATTTTCTCTGTAGTTTTATTTGTTTCTTCCTGTTCTGGAATTCCGATTACACATAGCTTATTCCTTTTGATGGCATTCCACATGAACCTTAGGCTTTCTTCATTTGGTTTTGATCTTTTTCTTGATTGATCCCCTTCCAAAGAAGTGTTCAGGTATTTGCTTTCTGTCTCACTAATTCTGTCTTCCATTGATTAA